CCTAAACTTGATTTTGACACATACATCCCTATGATAGAGTTGTACATGTGGCTTGGCTTGTCCCATATTCACCGGGCAAGCCACGCTGTAATTTAGATGGCATGCATCTAACTCAGTGGAGTGGATACACTCAGAAGCTTTTTGCTGAAGGATCTCAAAGCAATTTAAAAACACTAATTACATTTTGTTTGTTTTGGGACCCAACACCTTGAAGGCCTGTTATTTTTTTCGTAAATTCTGAAGAACAGAAAAGTTAAGTGACTTTTCTAAGGTCATGCCGCATGTTTGTTGTAGAGCTAGAAGCGCTGTGCTCAATCTTATGTTTTAGCCACAAGCCCATTAAATGGTTGAAAATGAAAAATGTGGCTACTTCTCTGCAGTCAAACTAAGAATATCAGGATATTGTACTGTATTGTTAAATTGGATTTCAGTGTTTCATGCCCCACTGAAACACATTGTCACGTTTGAATTAATTTTAAGTACTTATGGTACACGTGCTTTAGACTCAAGGGATGACAGGTGCTAAAGCTGAATACAAGACTCCCATTGATTTCATTGGCAAGGATCTAGACTTCAGCAAGCACCTAATCACACTTCTTAATAGCACTGATCTGTTATAAACTTTCCTTGAGTAACAGTCTGAAGATCCTCTAATAATCTCCTGATTTCATAGTCTGCTGTTACATGTGGTTGATACACCAAGAAAGGCTATAGGAGCCCTGCCAACTGACATGCGTCAGAAATGGCCTGTTAGTACGTTACAAACTTGGGTCAATTCCCACTGATTCAGTGTAGACTCCTACTGGGACCGGGATTAGGCCTCTGGATGATTTGATTATTTCAATTCAAGTTGATCTTGATTTCATATAATTGCTCATGACCTTTTTTTGGTTAGCCTTCTGCTAGTCGCTCCTGTCCCAACTCTGAGCAGACATGCCAGCAAAAAGGATTCAGGTAATATGCCAGTTTGTTCCCAGTGACTGCGCAGTGCTGATGACTAACTGTTTATAAATGTAAAAGGAGGGGCCCGTGCTTACTCAGGCATGATAGCAGTTTCTCGCTTCTCCTTTTAGGGATATTTCCTGATAGTATTTTAGCTTTGGCCTTTGTTTTTCCCTGTATTAACAATAAAGCCCTGACTCACTGAACAGCAATTTCACATACATAAATTTAGAAAAGATATGCACTATATTTTTTGTGACACATAGTCTCTCCTTAAAGTTCCATTCAAACTATTCCCTACCATCAGTAATTCTTTAAATGCCAAACCAGTAAGCAGCTCCAACCCTGCAAAAGTACCTGCCTTGTCTACCCGCTTCTATCACAGGAACCTCAAAATTCTTCACAAAGAAGGATATCCCCAATTTACAAATGGGGTAAAAATTAAGCAGTTAGACTTTGTCTTTATTAGTTTCTCTTCCGGAGAGTTTGTCACCACTGATAACACCGGTTCACCTTTGGTTTTTAGCAATGGTAGAAAGGAAGTCAGTGTAGAAAGGAATCCCACAGCTGTAGTATGTTCGAAAAAAAATGTTAGCAGCCAGTACTGATTTGGCTTGAAGAAACAGAGCAAAATCAAATTTAAATGGCTCTCTAAGGCCAATAGGCTACATTAGATCATTCTATTATTTAACTATTCCTAAACCCCAAAAGGGCTCCAAAGTTATTTTTATACCTTAATTTTT